ACCAGTTACGAGAACGAATAATGGCTTCATTTTTCAAATAGTCAATTCATTAATAGAATCTTGGGGGGTACGCTTGACCTGTTTGACTGTAAGTGTTAAAACAGTAATATTATTTTTATGTTTTAACTAAAATATATTTAGTTTAAGAGCAAATTACTTACAAACTGAAGATAATCCACAATGATTATCACATAAAAAAGAAAAACAGTAAAACAAAAATAAATTATTAAGGTCAGTTCTTCATCAATTGCTCTTATATCAGACTGAAATTCAGAAACTGCGAGTAGCAGCGATACTTATGGAATGTTGTTGTGTTTCAAAATCAGGCATAAAAAAAACTAAATCACCAAAAACAGCAGTGAATAGTTTGCGGTCTTGCTTGTAGTTTACCGCATGTCGTGACTTTTATATGTGATTGTTTAAAGTGATCATGGTTTTTGGTTCACACAGTATTAATGAAATTAAGATTACCAGTATCTTGTAATATGTAAGGGGCACATTAGACCCAATACAAAAATACCATGACAAAAATTGGCAAATACTAAAATACCAAGTTGAAAACTGGCAAAATATCGATACTGTATTTATGACTGGTCACACATACTTAAAGTTGCATCTATTACGTGTAATGACCTTCTGTATTGTTTCTGGTGCACAAAAGTACATGTACATTAATTTTTGGACTTTTTTTGCAACTTACAGTGTACTTAATGATGAAATTTGAACCCCAACAAATGAATTGTAAAATCTAAATTATGATAACCAGTAATTTTATGAGTATTTACGTAGACATTACTTACCACATCCACTATCTGCAGGTTCCATACCATAGGTGAGACACAGAGAAAAAAAAACAGATCCCATTACATAACTGCTATGTAAGTAAAACAGTTTGCAGGGTAACATATTGTAGTTACTTTATAGCTCATACTATCAAGGCTGTGTTCTGAGAAAGATGTTAAGGAGCCCAGTGCTCTAAACACATAAAATCCAGGGTGCTCAGCAAAGCATTTCTACAAAAATACTAAGATTTTCTAGTCCTTAGTCATCAGGGGCTACCAGGGGTTGCTAGAGCACAGCCTTGACTACTCATTTTTATAATTGGGACTTTAATTATGGCACAAAATATGAACCTGTCATTTATTGAGGGACCATTGTGATCAAAATTATACAATGTACAATGCAAAATCATTAACAGTTACTGTGTAACAAAAAGGATTTTCATTCTCAAATTTTGTCACTGTGCATCTGGTCACATGAGCACTATATGAGTTTCTCTTCCTGTTAAACAAGAACTGTTTTTGAACGCCAACTCAACTCATTCACTTTATCTGTGGGAGAAGACAGGGGGGCAGAAGGCTGGGAGAATAGGAGGGGGGTATGTGAGGTGGGAAAGGAAAGGAGGGAGGTGAGAGTTCTAAAAGGTTGAGAAATGGGAGAAATACGAAGAAAGTATGCAACACTGCTTAATTGAAAAAGGGCCAGAAGCAGGGAATGAAAGGTATGGGAGTTGGAGGGTTTGGATTCCCCCGAACCCCCTTGATTGTTAGTAATCACAAGCAAGGTAAAAATATAGTGCAAAACTTACTGGCTGTAAAAATGAGTGAGCCCAACAACGTTCAGGTATGAAAGAAAAAGCAAAACAGTTAGGGTAAGACATACCTAGCAGAAAACAGTGAATATCAAATGTACAATAAATTATTACAAACCTTTAGGAAGGACATGAACATGCAATATGTTGGGAAGAAGGGTAAACTATTTTTCTCTAAGTAAACAAGAAGGAGGGGGACATGGGGGTTTACGGTATTGCGGTATTGGGCTTTTTTTCATGCGGTATTTCGGTAATTTTAATTTTAACGTGCGGTATTGCGGTATCATCTAGCTCTGCGGTATGCGGTTTTTCATCATTTTGGCTGACGGTATTCGGTGAAATAAGATTGTTCACGGTATTATGGTACCGTTTATTTGTGCTTTCCTTTCGATACAATACGCAAAACAAAACACAGTAAGACATAATGGTCAATAAAAGTTAATATTTAGAAGTCTTGAGACATAACAGTAAATGATTACATTATTTGTGGGTCATTTTGTGACAGTTAATGGTCGATAATATACAATGTGATTGTTGTTGCATCCAATGATAATGAGTCGTCTCAAGTTACCTTACCAGGCTTGTCGATCTGTGTACCTGAGCCGGTAATTCGAGGTCTTAAACGTTTTCTCACAATGTCTGAGGTCGCTGAGGTTGAAGACGGCGTGGTCATCATTGACTGTGTGGCAATTTTGTATGAAGAGGGCGAAGGAGGCGAACATTATCGCAACAAGAATAAGTTTAGATGTTGGGTTTCGAGAATTGAAAAACGCCTTGTAAAGTTAAAAGCGAAAATTTGGTAAGTTTGCCTCTTAACAGCGCGGCGTCATCCTCGGAGACCCAGGGGCAGATAAAGGGGCGAGGGAAAGTCTAAACGGGAGGAAAAATATATATCGAACAAAGAAAAGTAAAGAACGGAGAGAGAAGAGCCCCTGGGACAATGGGCGCGATCCATTCACCCAAAATTTTAACCGGTCCGACCGGGAAAAGTGGACCACCTCAAAAGGTGGACCCGTTTTTTCGAAACTTTTCCGGTTGGACCGAGCCGATCCATCGAGTTTTGGACCGAAATTTCCGGAAATTTTGGTTGAATGGATCGCGCCCATTGTCTTACCAGACCAGTTCCAAACGGTCGCCGCCGTTCTGGCTTCTGATTGGTGCCAGAAAACTTGTGTTTTTCTGGCACCAATCAGAAGCCAAAACGGCAGCGACCGTTTGGAACTGGTCTGGTAAGACATTGTCCCCAGGGGCTCTTCTCGCCATTCTTTACTTTTCTTCGTTCCATATACAGATTAGACAATATCAATCATTGAACATTTTTAAAGTTTTACTAAAGACACATCTTTTTAAATTAGCTTTTTATTAGTTCTTTTATTAACTCATATTTTACTTTGTATTGTTTTCCGAAAATTGTAAATTATTATTATCATTATCATTATTTGGATTAGCCATTTATTACTTTAGGATTTTAGTGTTGTAATGCGCATTCGATCATATCTTTATCGCATGCTAGACTGCTCAATAAAAGAAATAAACATTATTATTATTTATTATATATTTTTCCGCCCGTTTAGACTTTCCCTCGTCCCCACTATCTGCCCCTGGGTCTCCGAGGATGGCACGGCGTGTGATCTGACCCCTGAGAGACTGACGTGCTAGACTAGACTCACTTTATATCAAAACTCGCACTAGACGTGCGTGGAAAGGGTTTTGGCTGGTTTGTTTTTCGCGCTTTCAAGAGTTATTTTTATTGGAGTTAATTAGCTGTTGGGTCGAAATACCAAAAGGCTGAACGAATGTAGTTTACTTTTCAGTGAAAATTTGCGGAAAATTGCGAACTACCAAAATATTAAAAAAAACATGGACATCTGGTGCATAAATGCCTGAAATAATTAAATGCGCTAGATGGAAGCAACCATAAGTATGCGCAACCGATTATAAATGTGATTAAAATATACGGTATCGGTATTTAGACGATTTTCGACGCGGCATTTCGGTATTTGCCATTTTTCCTTACGGTATTGCGGTATTGGGTACCCCCCAATGTCCCCCTCAAGAAGTATGTCTTGCAGCTGGACTGTATTGAAAAATGCTCATTGCATGTTATTTGGGTCGGGAAATGAAAAACCTCTTAATAAGGGAAAGTTCATTTAATATGACAAGGGGGGGGGGATGAAGATATTGAGGGGGGGCTCCAAAAATTTTTAGACACCCGAAGGGGGGGCTCTGAAAAAATTGTTGCGCTAGGAGGGGGGGCTCCGAAAATTTGTATACTTCAAAACCAACACATGACATCATCATACAGATCGGATGGTTTTCAACTCAACAATATTTAATGACCTGTGCAACTCAGCTATATCACGTGGTTTACAGATATAACAAATGTAGTCTCAGTAATTATTACACTCTTGTTCATCCTAAAAATGCTTTAGAAAATTGTATCTCAAGTTTGTCATAGTATAAACCATTGAAGACAATAACAGTAAATATATTTATTACAGTCTAGCGATCTTTTTTCAGGGGAGCAAAGGAATTGAAGGAGGAGGGAGGGGGGGGCTCTGAAATTTTTTCGACTACCAAGGAGGGGGCTCCTAAAAAATTGAACCGCTAGCGAGGGGGGCTGCTAAAATTTCAAGCTTCGAGTTTCAATATCTTCATCCCCCCCCCCTTGTCATATTAAATGAACTTTCCCTAAATATATGAATAACATGAATTGTATTGTTACCAAAATGTTTTCACCACAATGAGAAAATAACAGTTACTTGTATATTGTACTTCACTGTGTAAAAATAAATAATGCTTTTCTGCTGTTGCTGTTACAGTTATACAGCTGTAGGTCGTAGTGGTACAGAAATAGCAACTCCAAGAACTACCGGTGCCAAAAAATTATTATTATTGCTAACAATATTGATCCATGCCCTCGATCTTTGGCTTCGAAGGGTAGGCATTACTGGTAAATAAAAAACATTGGCCACTTGTTAATTGCATACAACTTGAAGAGTAGTTAAGAGTGAAAGATGTAAGTGCATCCTTTCAGAAAGACGGAAAGGCAGCAATTCTGAAGAGGGAACAAGGGCTCAAAACCTGTGCATCCTAAGAGACAACATTCCACCCCTATCATGAGGTAGAATTGGCAGCTGTCAGTTTTTACTGCAGCAAGAGAGAGAGACAGACAAGCATATTAATAATATTGCACTTTTTGTGCTTCTCTGGTCCCTGGACCAAAGCAGGTGACATTTACATCAAATAAGGAAACCCTGTTATTGCAACCAACAAAGAGCCATGAGAATAATGTTGTTATAGTTTTCTTTTTTATGTTTACGTGGAAGGGAAATGAGATGAGTCTAAGTCACGCCGTATGAAAAGTTGGATTACCCTGCAGGGTAGCATGGATAGGCAGGTGACCCTTCTACCCTAACCTACCCTGGATTACTTTTCCCCATATATACAGGACCTTAGGTGTCTTTAGGCTTCGACCTACCCCTTTGTGCCACCTGCAAGCGTCACCATGGTTGCGATGCTCACTAAAAAGTTTATTGCAATTGTCACATAGCATTGTAGTGGTGCTCCTCACTGGGGCACTATGAACCACTCTGCTGTATGAAGCATTATCCTTATCTGTGAGTTCAGGAGAACGTTTTTCTCTAGCGGGACTTCGGGTCGTTGCTCTTGAAATTTCATTTCTAGAGATGGCATTCCAAATTCTCGTTCGATCCAAGTCACGTTCGTCGAGCTCTATTTTGAGGCTTTCTTCCTGCAATTTCAAACGATGTTCTTTTACACGCGTTTCCATTTCGCGTCTGTTTTGCATTATCATATGCAGGTTATTTCTTATCATGCATTTTTGAACGATTTGATGCATTCGTAGATTAATATACTTTGTTCTAAATCCGCATCCTTCACATTGAACAAATCTAAAGTCGCACCGTTCGAGGTGTAAAGAGAGATCTCTTCGCCGAACTTTCTTTCTGCAACCAATATTGATGCAAAGTGTAAAGGATAATGGGCAGTGATTAGTGAAATGATCATCAAGACCCCCAAGCAACTGCACAGTTTCGCAGCCCTTTGGACAATTGATTTTCAAGTTATCATAACGTTTTTTCCATTCAGTGTCAATCTTGCCCTCGATGTGATGGAGACGTAGATCTTTTCTGCACACAGGACAAACGGGCGATCTTCGTCTCATTCTTTTCTTGTAGCACTTTATACACAGCATGTGCAGACAAGACAAAACAGCGGGTTGAAGAAAAACATCGTGACAATGAGAGCAGATAAATTCACTCGGTATTCTTCCGTCAAAGTGCTCCAGTTTGATTCCCATATCAGCAAAAAAACTAAGCCACCGGCCACAAAACAGGAACAGCTGAAAGCGGAACGAAATTCGTGACTTAGTGACACAATGTTTGTGGTAATTTACCGTTCATAAGGTGATGTTTATTGAATAATTGCCACATAATCTCACAAGGAATTTATCGCACACCTACCGTGCCTTTTGTTGTGATAATAGATCATTGTCATTTGTCTTTGTGATTTGCATTCGGTCGATCTCTGATGATAGACATCGGCAGTTGAGAAATATTCAAAATGAGAAAGGAGCAGATAAAAACAGCTAAATACAATTCTTCTCGATAGAATTGGCGTGAATCTACCGATTTTCGTGTAGTCATAGTGAAAAGCAAACGACAAGTATGCTAAACTTGGTCACGTGGTACAAGTGCGATCTCTCTGATGATTGACCTGAGATCAGGCTTTTTTTTTGTGTTTTTGCTTCTTTGCTTCTTTGTCCCGAGAGGGAAAAAAAATAACGCCCTCCTCCCGAAAGAAGATTACAGAGATAAAGGGAAGGGCATGATTGCAGGCTAGTGTCTCATAGGGGGACTTAACAAGAATTTGGGTCAAAATTCGTTGAACGCTATCTTGGTTTTTAAGTTGATTGGTTGTACGGATCCTCTTTGTTTACCCCAATCCTTTAGAGGGTCGTGAAGGGGGGTACCAAATCCCAGTTCCCAGCCTAAATTTGGCCCAAATCCCAGTTCCCAGGCGAATTTTTGCCAAAATCCCAGTTACCAGTTTACAGTTTAAATCCAACAAAAGTTTAGAGTTTTCGGTGTGTATAACAGCGTTATTTGCATTGACGTACTTGATCATCTAGTACCATTTTGCGAGAAACCTTTTCCGAAGCCATTTTTATCTTCCCTTCACAATATCTTCATATGCAAACTTGCAGAACTTGTCCGCTGACCAGGAAAACTGACAGAACGTAACTATGCAACCGTGTAAGCCTGGTAGCTAGACCGCTGGCGCGAAGGCGAAAAATACTGATTTCATGGTCTCTACTGAGGAGTGCAAGGTCTATTGCTACGAAATTTTATTTTTCTATTTCAAAATATTGGAGCAAAGACCACTGAAGAAAAGAAATCCCATTCCCATTTTATAATTGTTCATCCCATTCCCAGTGGCTAAATCCCAGTCCCAGTGAGTAAATCCCATTTTCCCAGTCCAAAATAAGGCTAATCCCAGTTCCCATTTTACCCCTTCACGACCCTCCCTTTAGGATAAAAATTCGTACTTTTGGACAGTCTCAAGCTTTCTCAGCCTATCGCTTCCTTGTTCTTTGACAACTTACAGAGATACATTGAGGGAAACAGCTGAAGACCTTACAACTGAGAGAGTTGCAACACTGCTCATTTCAGTTTCTCGTCGCTAGGTCACTGTCCACTACAAGGGAAAACCAGTTATGATACGTCCGATCTCCGATACTGCCAGAACGGCTGATCCCTATAGTAGAGTTCTCTAAAAGTCAAAAATGCTCAATACGGTCAGAGATTTCCTATCCTTATGCCTTCTATAACAGTAGTGATCTTTATCTGAAAGAGCCCGTCCATTGATTTATAACTCACTCCTTATTACTCATTTAACGCAGCAAAAAAAGAACGGCTGTGTTGTAAAAAAGTTGTTTATACATAGGTCAGTGTTTAAATGGCTTGCTTCTATGTACTCACCCGCAACCCTTTAATTTGAACTTGCACTAACAGCCTGAAAAAGAACTGACTTCCTGCTTTACAAGGACGCCGTGTGAAAAAAACAACCTTACTCTGGGAAATTGTGGCAACGACTACTTGATGTTAGTGACGATGGCTGCCTTAAATGATCCGATAAACTGTTCCACAATACCGCTCCGCTACTGATAACTGAATCTCTTTTTGAAGGTTTCAGTACAGGGAAGTGGTACTGCCAGTTTGTTTACCGTATTTCTTGATTTATATCCTTGGGGGAGGGGGGGAGGGGAACTCTGCATATGAAAGGGGTGGGGATCCTGGTCGGAAATTTTGAATTAACCCAAGCTTTTTTTGACCCCTAAAAGAGACCATGTTAAAACACAGACAATATAATATTTTTATATTTTTTCACGTGCAACCCTAAACAAGATTTTCACGGCTAAATATGATGGCGTTTTGCCCAGAACACCCTAAGTGAGACCAAAATCCGAAATTAACACCCCTAAGCGGGACGACGAGCATCCCCACCCCTTTCATATGCGGAGTACACCCCCCGGGATTTATATGGCCTTCAGTCCATACGATATAAAAAAGAATTTTGAGCTTAACTCTGAATACGGCAGAGCCTTATACTAAGACCCTTATAGAATAGATAACTTGACCTTACCTTACAGCTCAAGTTTATGCCAATTGAGTGACTGAAAAGAGCTCATCCAGGCAAGCATCTGCTCAGTCGCAATTTGAAGAAATAATTATACGAGCAGCTTAGTTCTGTAGTTTATGGAGCTAGTTCTGGATAGCCTGCGTAGCAGGCGTCGAGAGGGGATAGGGAGGAAGGGAAAAAGGGAGAGGGGTTTTGCGTCTGCCAAGTAAACTAGTTCTGGGAGAGGCCTTTATTACAGTTCCCCAAAACGCGCTGCAGTAATTGAAGTGAGGCTCTAGTGTACAAAGATAAATAGTGAGTAGGATTTCACGAGAAAACGAGTTTCTGACGCGCTTAATTGCAATAATGTCAGAAGCAACCTTTTTAGACATCATCCTGAATATGGTCATCCATTTACACCAAGAGATTTAGAAACCAGGACCTGCATGTTTAACCGGAGCGTCATTGATGGGGTACACCACTCGTGACAAATTACCCGACTTACAGCCGTTTACTACACAGGATTGTGGACGACTACTATAATGGTATGACGGACGTGAACCAGTCTCCTTCGGGGCCGGTTATACCGTATCAGTCAAGTTTAGATCATAGTAGTAAGGTATGGTCAACCGTATCAAAAGCCTTTTTGAGGTCCAGAATCAATATTTTTCAATGACCATGAAATTCAGTATCCGGGTAGTTAGTTAATCAATTGTGGCCCTGAAAAAAATTGAAGGGAAAAAAATACGAATTTTAAAGAAAATGCTTTTTTCGTGACAAGGACTCTTTACCCATATGTTATGAAGATCCCCAAAATTAAGGGATAAATCTCATAGTTTATTAGATATAATCGTGTAAAGTTTGCTTATCATTTTCACATAAATTATGACCTAAATTTGCACACCGCTGAATTTCTAGAATTGGGTCTTTGCAATTTTGGTGAAACTCTGTTCAACGCAAGGCACTAATGCGCACTATATGTAGCCTAGAGATTTTCACGAAAAAATGCCGGCAACAGCAGAATTTCGACTCAGACCCGAAAGAGGCGTGGCACTATAACAACGTGACATTTACTCCGATTGCCAAAAATTTTATGCTGGATTGTAGATTGATCTATATGTTATCCATGCTATATGTTGGACTTACAATCAAAGTAAAGGTGGGGATAGCAGAGAGCTTCAAAGTAGGATGGTACCCTCCCAAAATAACCGGGTCGAGTCAGCTTAAATGGCTACATTCTTTTGTCCCTAGTTTGGATCGTAATCCTTTGGATAGTGAATTTTGCGGGAATATTATCGAATCTGTTAAAGGCCAGAAATCGTTGCTCGTTATGAAAAAGAAGCCTATTAACACAGACATCATAAGGAGTATTTTAGATATTCATAACAAGGAAGACTCTAATTTAAAGAATCTTCGCATCGCTGCGTTATGCTCTTTAGCTTTTGCAGGATTTTTTCGTTATGATGTATTATTGAATGTCGTTCCTAAGCATATTGAATTTCACAGAGATTATATAAGAATCTTTGTACCTCGAAGTAAGAAAGATGTTTATAGGGAAGGGAATTACGTCGTTATTAGCGCACCCAGGTATTAGTACTGTCCTGTTGGTGTTTTACAAAGGTACTTAGATTTACTGGTATTGACTTATCTAGTTCTCTCCCTTTAATTAGACGGCATATTTTTCACCGTGGTAGTTCTAGCTATACTCTGAGGAATGGAAAGATTTCTTATACTACTTGCAGGGATATCTCAAGGGATACCTTAAGATCCGGTGGCATTATATCTGCGGTACGTAATAGAAGTAACTTGATTCCAGAAAGACTTCTTAAAATATATGGTAGATGGAAATCTGACTCTCCCAAGGATATGTATGATGAAAAAAGCCTTGAAAACTTGTAACAAGTAACTGAGTATTTAGGTTTGTAATGTATTATCGAGCGTATATTATTAAAAAATTATGAAGCATCGACATGATGTGATAAACGCTTAATACCTTCACAAAGTAAGACTATGAGTATCAAAGCACTTCTCTTGAGAATCTACTAATTGGACAATAAAAATGTGTCGGTTGTAAGTAAGGCTTTCTACTGGGAGTCCATAACGCGGGTTTCCCGGCACTGTATCTAAGTTGTAGAGGGGGACTTCTACAGACTTTAGGATTACGTGAAGAGAGGTGACACAACCAGAGTTTGGCAGTTGACGACGGTTTTAATCTTTCCGTTGAAGTTACAAACTCCTCTTAGCTATCTGAAATCTCAAGGCGTAACTGTGAAGCTACTCACAAGAGGTTCTATTTACATTGAACGATTAAGCTAATTGATAATTGATTTTTTACAGTTCTACATGGCATTCATATGCAAGGAAAAGGTGTTAGTTAGTGTCAGAGTTTAGAGAACAAAAGGAACTGAAATTGAGTTGATTCCTACTACGCGTGGAAGAAATTTGCAAAAGTAGAAATATCTCTCTACCCAAATTCCTTTACAGGGAACCAAAACGATAGTTTGAAAGAAACTAAATTTTCCTAAGATTGTGTCGAAAAATATTCTAGTTTGAAGTCAGAAAAGTAAGTGAAATTTGGCTAAAACTGGTTCAACAGAGAACAAAGAACTCGAAAGGTGTTAGGACGCGTGTCCTTAGGTTAGATTTTAATGAGATAGGAAATCTGATTATGATTCAAGTTTGGAAGCGAAAGTGAGAACCAACTCCAGGTCTAAGTAAACGAACTTCGTTAACAGAAAACGCTTGTTTCCTATTCCACGGCTGAATACATCTATCTATTTCTATCTTTTGAACTTGTTTATGTGTTTCTTGAGCAAACTTGAAGAGGTGTTTCTCAACCTCAGTTAAACCTTAAGTTGTGAAAGACTGAAACTACACCTATGATGTTTCCTACAATTACCGTGCGTCCAACTTCTATTTTTGATTGATCCCAACACCAAAGAGGTCGGTGCAAAAATCTTTTAGCCAAGGGCTTAACTGACCAGCAAAGGTTTGCTGGTTATTACTAAAGTGTGTCCAGCTGTTCTGACAGCTTGTAAACACCATCCTTTGTCCCTTAACAAAAGATATTTAAGATATGGTAAAACTTTTGATTTCCGAACCGACCTAAAACAAACTTATTTATATATTATATTATATACCCCTGAATAAAGTCAAAATACCCAACACCGAAATAATTAGAATAAACTGAATAAATATTAATGATTACAAAGAGAAGCGCATACAATGAAGCAGACTGAGCAAAAATGTACCCTAGCAAAATTACGATAAAAAAGAGATGCTAACTCGATCTTTCAAGCTCGAAATTGCTCTCCTACTCACAGAGGGAAAGATAAATACCGAGTAAGGAGAATGTTTGACAGAAAATTAGTCATCACATACATGCAAACTAAAGTCTGCCACGACGATTTGGGTGTATCATGATTACGTAACTTAAAGTTTTAGTGCTTTCTTCAATTAGTTGTCAAGTGTTAATTAACAGCAATAAATTACGTGTGATTTTAGTCACACTTTACTTAGAAATGACGATACGGAGCAATCTTCCGAAAATTATTAAATTCTTTGAAGCATTACACCCACTACATAAAATTGATTACAGAGATTTTAAATTCAGATATGTGCACACAAACAAATTGTCCAGTTGATTCTGTTGCCAGGGATTGTTGACAGTCCCGACAGTGCAAGCTAGCTTGTCGACATTTTCTTAAAAAAAGGGGAACAATACTAACACTCATTCAAGCATGGTCAAGATGTTAGGCCCTCGTTTTGTTATCAAACAGCAATCTCTTGGGTGTCTGCCAACACCAGTCCAAGAAACGCACGGGACGAGAACCACTGATCGGCTTCCACCATGCAGCACACTGGATCTTGTACTTGATCTCACTAAGGATATCAAGCCAAAAGTCGAACCAAATCAGACGCAAGAACATTATAAGCAACAGATGTACCGGAGAGAACGTACCAGATGCTTGTCTTCTAAGATTCTCCAGTGACTTTTTCTCGTGTTTCGGTTCATTTAAACGAAAGCAGCTTGGATCAAAAGGAGCGAACAACGCAGTCAAAGCTCCACGGGGATTTCTTTTAAACAGTGCCCAATAATCGGGAAATATTCCGCACTTCTTCCCCACGTCATCGCCGTAGGTGTAACCCTCTACCAGGGTAGACAATCGTCCAGAGGAATCCTTGAAGTACTCATCCCAGAAACGCTTGTCATTGTAAGCTTCTCTCTGCATTTCAGCTTTCGATGGTAGCTTACACTTGCCTGAGAACACTTTTGAGACAAAAATAGATCCCAGCTCAGCCAGTGAGATCACCGAGCCAATAACTGGTCGGACATGGCCGATAAAAGCTAAGGTAGGGTCATCAATATTGATTACGTATTTGTAATAGTCCCTGAGAGGAACGGAGCAAATTTCCGGTGGGAGCATCGGGAAATTTGCTTTGAATCCTGTGCACTGGATGATGACATCCACTTCTTCTTCCGTGCCGTCACAGAATACTACTTTCTTCCCTTGAATACTCTCGATCGCGCCTTTAGGGATGCAGTGTTTGTAGTCTACCCTGTCCAGCACGTGGCCATTTTTGTTGACGATGAAGTGGAAAAATTTGGCACTGTTTTTCCACTCGGGTATGCCATGACCCTGATACGCTAGGAGAGATCCATTTGTAGTCCACTTACAAATCCAGGATAATCCTGTAGGGATTGAAGACACCCAAATATCAAATTAACCTTGCAGTCAACTGATTCGTACAAAACTAAGGATAGAGAAGTAAAGTAATAATAAAGTAGTAGTAATAATAAAGTAAAGTAAGTAAATTAAATTCCAATAGATGCTCAACATTTAAAGCTGATGATCGTGAAGTTACTGATCCTGTCGAAATTTAATTTTGAATATTTCGACAGGATCAGTAACTTCACGATCATCAGCTTTAAATGTTGAGCATCTATTGGAATTTCTTTTGCTTCTGTTTAGAATTTCATTTAAAACTTTCCAAGTAGCACGAGTATTAGATTGAACGTTATTCAATTTCTTCTCATAGTATAGACGTTTTGCTGTCCGCAGAGAATGATTTAATTTGTTTTTATAACTTTTGTAAACTGATTGACGATCCATTGTTGGATTTCGCAGATATTTTTTATAAAGCCTATTTTTCTTCCTAATACACTTAATAAGCGCATTGGATAGCCACGGTTTATTTCAACGGGACTGTTTTCTAGTTAATTTTTTTACAGGGAAGCACACATTATAACTTTCAGAATACTTCTTTATAAAGCTATTATACGCGTTTTTGGGGTCATGATAACCATCAAGGGAGGACCAGGTAATTTGTTTTAGCGTTTCGAGAAAACTCGCTAAGTTTTCTTTATTATTGTCTCGAATGACCACTGGGTCATGAGCGTGGCTGTTGGAAGAGTCATTATTTGAATGAATCGAAAAAACAGGTAAGTGATCAGAGATATCAGTAATCAATAAACCACTTCTCGAGTGATCAAAAAATGTGTTTGCGAAAATGTTATCTAGCAATGTTGCGGTGTGAGAAGTTATTCGGGTGGGACGTGTTGTCATGGGAAAAAACATATACGAGTGCAATCCATCAAGGAATTCGCCAGTGTTTTGGTGATGTTGAAAGTTAATTAAATTCAAATTGAAATCACCCATAATAAAACATATTTTGTTCTCTCTAGAGATTTTCGCTAACAGATCATTGTGTTTTGACACAAAGTCACCAACTCTCTGATTAGGTGGCCTGTAAATAACGCCACCGATAATATTTTTCCCATGGGGTCTTGATATTTCAATAAACAAAGATTCTGCAACATCAATATCGTCAAAACTCAAGTCAGCGCGAATTTTAAAATCGAGATTGTCAGAAATATATAAGCCAACACCACCACCAGTTCTATTTGGGCGATGTTTGTGAATAAAATTGAAACCATCTATGTCTACTGAATGGGAATAATCATTTAGCCAAGTCTCAGAAACGCCAATTAAAGAGAACTTAATATTCAAGCATGTCAATAGAATAGAAAGGCTGTTTAGATTACGTTGAAGACTACGAATATTTAGGTGTAGGAGCGAAAAATCTTCATCACATAAATTATCATTTCTCAACATTTCGTTAAATTTGTCTTCAATGTAGTAATCACAGTGGACGTCGTCTGTGCAGAAATTAACATCATTAACATGTCGAAATTGCCAACAAGTTTTGTAGTTATTTTTCAAGCATCGGTCCTAATTTAGCAAGGGGTATACAGTCGTCAGCTTCACACCGTTGTTTTCTTAATGGTTCCTTTACACAGTCAATATTCTTCAACCCTACAACTCAAGATGAGATCACTGAGATTGCGAAAACTTTTCTTCCAGGCAAAGCAGCTGGCTACGACCAGATTCCAATGACAGTCATTAAGGAGTCCATTCTACTTGTTTCTGAACCACTCACCCATATCATAAACTTGTCAATCCAGCATGGTATTGTTCCCGATGAAATGAAAATCGCTCGCGTGATACCTATTTTTAAATCTGATGATCAGTCGCTTTTCACCAACTACCGACCTATCTCGGTGCTTCCCAGTTTTTCAAAATTCTTTGAAAGAGTTATCTACAATCGTTTAATGCAATATCTGATGAACTTCAACATCCTCTGTAGTAACCAATACGGCTTCAGGAAAAATCATTCCACTGCACTCGCGCTAATCGACTTGCATGATAAGATCTCTACTGCCTTTGACCGAGGTGAATTTTCCGTAGGTATTTTTCTTGACCTCTCAAAAGCCTTTGACACTGTAAATCATATCATCCTTTTTGATAAACTCGAACATTACGGTATTCGTGGCTTAGCGCTGGACTGGATAAGAAGTTACTTTTCAAACAGAAAGCAATATGTTGAATATAATGGCCACCGTTCGTTAAGAAATGAAATCTCTTGTGGGGTCCCTCAGGGTTCTATCCTCGGACCTCTATTTTTCTTACTGTACATTAACGACATCAACAATGCTTCTAATCTATTAAATCTGATATTGTTCGCTGACGATACCAATGTATTCATGTCACATAAAGATCTGAACTATCTCTCAGATATGTTAAACTTGGAGATGGACAAACTGTCAATCTGGTTTTAAAGCAAACAAGCTTTCTCTAAATCTTAAAAAGACTAAATTTATGGTCTTCAAACCAAGACAAAAGCGTTCAATTTGTAATATTCAAATAAGTATAGATAATCAAAATATTGTTAAAGTAAAGGAGACAAATTTTCTAGGCGTAATTTTGGATGAAAACCTAAATTGAAGTCGGAAATATCTCACGTTGCCAGTAAAGTTGCGAAGTCAATCGGTATAATATCTAGATGCAGCTTCTTTCTTCCTAAATCGTCTTTACGTATGCTCTACTATTCCTTAATTTATCCTTATTTTTACTACTGCAATATCGTTTGGGCTTCGACCTATAAAACTAATCTCCGCCGCCTTGTTATCCTGCAAAAGCGCATTATTAGAATTATTAATAAATCACATTTTAATGCTCATACTGACCCCATCTTTAAGGACCTCGGTATACTAAAATTTAATGATATCCATTTGCTTCAACTGGGCCAATTTATGTATTCTTGCAAAAATTCATTCTTACCTCCAAAGTTTAATAACAATTTCTCTCAAAGCAATCAATTCCACTCTTACAATACAAGAAATTCCCAGGCCTACCGTCTACCGTATTGTCGTACAAACACGAAGAAGTTCTCGCCCTTTTTTCAAGGGCCTAAGTTTTTAATTCACTTGACAACAAGATCATCAACTCTCAATCCCTCTCCTCTTTTAAGAAAAAACTGAAGATTAAATTATTGAGTAAGTATGAAAACAGTTTATAAATCTTTCCATCTTCGACTTTTCGCCTTCTTCTCTTCAATTGATGTGAAACAGCTCTAGCTCATAGTTCGAGGAGGCCTAACCTCTCATAAGCTCCTATAGTTTCTGTTAGGTCTCCTCGCCACTTCTTTTTTTTTTTTTTTTTCTTCTTCTTTTCCTATATTTTTTGTAATTAGTGTGGCAAATAAAATAAAATAAAAAAAATAATAAAAGTAACGAGGTAACAAAGGTGGTTTGTTGGTAACGTCCTGATAAAAGCCGAGTAACAATTCCAGGCTATGTTTGGAGCAGGTAAATCAGTGGCTCGTTCTCCGGCAGTGGTATGTCGAGACTAAAACAAGATATATATATTTGAAGCTGACTGCTGATCTTTTTTACCTTACTTAGGTTTACTTTACTTTACACTCTTGTATGTTTACTTTCCTAAGGAATAGCCCACCTATAAATTAGCAATAGGAACCTACGGGCATACCCAAATTATGTGTATGTATCAAACGCAGTAAGGGAACGACGGGAAAGAAAGTGAAGATTAGTACGAGAATCCAGGAAAAATCCCACAATAATGCAGTAGAGACAATCGAGTGACGTCTGAGGTCATGTTAGAGAAATTTCTTGTGTAACCAATGTTCACTTTGGGCCGTTCCGCCATCCAGCCAAATGCTTTCTGAATTGAATCATTTTAACGGCGACCTTTTGACTCTCACGACTGATACTAACTATGATGGTATGTATTAAAAGCGTTGTCAAAGGCGGAGGCAGCGTGGGCGAGCGGTCTGGGCGTTGGACTTGTATTTCGGATGACCGAGTTCATGGCCCACCTGGATTCTAAGGTTTGGCGTAAAGAACGGGAAAGGACGCTTTTCAGAAGTCATTACTGGCGGGCCGGACCATGGCCGGACAAGATATTTTGGCAATGAATTAGCCTTTTTTCCAATAGTTTTTGCTGAAAAACCATCTCCTTTGGGTATAATATTTAGGATTTGACTGATCTGTTTGGTTAGTTTTGATTAAAAGTGAAGTTCTCATTACGATGGGAATGGGCTTGCCGGTCAGTTCTGACAAATGGAAAGAGCCCTAAGTTTACAACCTCGTTTTTCCAAGACACTATTTCTTTCAAATCACGTGCAAATTTATTTTTTAACCCCCCAAAAAGGAAAACATGTGAGTCTCAGTAACAGCATTAAAGTTGTAAAAATGGAACTGAATAATGACAACATGGGCTATCATTTCTATGCTGATGATACTCAGTTGTATCTGTCTTTCAATTCTCTCAGTGGGGATGATCAAGCTTATTCTGTCTCTCAGGTTGAATCTTGTGTTAGAGATATCGACCGTTGGATGTCTTGTAACAAACTTAAGTTGAATAGGGACAAGACGGAACTGCTCGTTATCAGTTCAAAATATCGGTCACGCCCATCTTTAGATAGTATCCTGGTTGGTGATCATCGTGTAGAGCGGTCTGACCAAGCGAGGAACACAGGAGTTGTTTTTGATGAGACCTTGTCACTGGATAAGCATGTGTGTTCCGTTTGTAAATCTGCTTTATTCATCTTCGGAATATCGCGAAGATTAGAATGTATCTGACTTCTGAGAGCACAAAGACCCTCGTCCATGCTTGTGTTACTTGTCGACTGGACAATTGTAACTCGTTGCTCCTCGGGTCACCGGAGTATATTATTCAGAAGCTCCAGCGCGTTCAAAACTGCGCTGCACGCCTTGTAGCTGGGCAACCTAGGGCTGCGCACATTCGCCCCGTAAGGAGCTACACTGGTTACCTGTGGAGCAGCGAATTACCTTTAAAGTATTACTGTTAACTTTTAAAGCTCTCAATAATCTGGCGCCTCCGTATTTAAGTCAACTTATAGTCCCATATAACCCTACAAGAAATCTTAGGTCAGCTAGCAAACGTTTATTAGAAGTACCGAATGTGCGCCTGAAGAGCTATGGGGACAGGGCCTTTTCGGTCGCTGCCCCAAAGCACTGGAATGATATTCCCTTAGACATTAAATTAAGTGGATCAGTTGATGTTTTAAAATCTAGATTGAAAACTTATCTTTTTAGACTTGCTTTCAATTGACTTTTTGTTTTGGTGCTTTGTTAGTTAGTTATTTTCTTTTTTTGATTGTAAAGCGATATAGAGCTTTTGTATATACCGCTATACAAATAAAGTTATTATTATTATTATTATTATTATTAACATGAAGAAGCGGATGGAATAGCCCTGTCGCGGGGGGGAATCGGGGTAGGGAATCAAGGGGTTGAATTATCTCCTCACCTGGCTTGCTTTTCGTGTAAGGAGCAATGAATGTCAATACTCTTGAGGACACCTTGTCCAGGATCTGGGGATGACGGTTGGGCAGGATTTTGGTAAACTTGCGAAAGAAATGCATCCCGCGTGGAATGCTCCATATAAGGCGCTCAACGTGGTCGCACCATTGCTCCACAACATCACTGGCTGTTTCTCCTCCACCAATCAGCATCACACGTTTGCCTTTATGCTCCGGCACAAAGGACTTGAGCGTACAGCTGTGGTGGATTTCACCTTCAAAATCCTTAAGAAGCGTATCTTCCAGGGCTCGATTGGGGAGCTGCACGTTGCCACTGCAAACGACAAGAAACGTACTCGTGAACACGTGGCCGTTTTCGCATTCCACTTGCCACAAGCCGTCTTTCTTAACAGCGTTCTTTACTGCGTGATCTAAACGGATATGAGGCCATAACTTGAAAGCATCACAATAAGCTTTTAAGTAGCTCAAGACGTCTTCATGTTTCGGAAACGGTCCGATCTCTTCGGGCATAGGAAAGTCGGACATTTCCGTGACGGAGGATGACGAAGTTGGTATTGTGTTTCTCATGACTGTAACGATGCTTGGGTCTTCTGAGAAACACCACAGGCCTCCCACATCAGTACGTTTTTCTAACGCCACGACGGTCAATCCCTCCTCCAGCATGTATTTACACGCCATAAGACCAGACCAGCCAGCACCGATTACAATCACGTCTGTGAAATTTCTTTTTCCTTGAGACATTTTGTACTCAGCTACAGAAGAGAGAGAAATTGGTAGAAATGTTGCATTATGAGAACGCAAGTCTGAGGTGAAAAAGCTATTGCCTCTTCAAAGACAAGATCCTTTACCTAAGACAGTGACCGTAAAACTGAAGAAGTCAACATACGTCCAAGTTACACTGAATCGAGTGGGGGTTTCTCGGTAGAGAAATCGGTCTTAATTGCATGGTCTCTCGTAAAGTGAGGCGATCGCCATCTTTACTGAAGGTCTACTATGAACAGCTGGCCTATGTACAGCCGCCTCCTCCCCTCAGAAAAAATCGGAGAAGGGGCTCCCTCTCCGATTTTTTTTCTGAGGGGAAGGGGGCGGGGGGGGGCGTCGGTCTCAGTGTACTTAAAATCACTTTTCTCTTTTTTTTCCCTTTCCCTTTTCATTAGGAAGACATTAATCCACATGCTGATGCAATTGAATGAGGCTGAGTATCATCTGAAGAATTATGGAGATCGAGGAGGGTGTTAGCTGCTGAGCGGCTTTATTATTCATTCCAAATAATTTTTAGTTTAAAAACAAGCTAAAACATGCTTACCCCCATCGATGTTAAGTTCATTTTCGATAGTGCACGTTAATCGGCAAGTTTAGGAGCTAAAGGGTTGTTCAGCTCCGCAAATATTCTCCAAATAGCAGATGTCGCCGTTCGAGTTGTCTTCTTGCTGTTCTTGCTATATTTTAGCCTTTTTCTTTCCGGTGAAAAGAGTGAAATGTCCGCCATTTTTGTTCTTATTACCAAAACAACTCAAACTCGTCCCCAGGTCTTCTCGATTAACGGTTCAATAATCTGCAACTTTGATGCACTTTTGACGCCATCGGTTCACTATGGCAAAGTTCTTCCAAATTTGGTCGCAAAAAGCTAGTTATGATAAATTATGCGTGGGGTTTTAGCCACTCAGAAACGGAGAAATATTTTGAATGAATAATAATGATCAATATGTAGAGCGCTTCAGCCATTCAACCCCAAATTCCGGAAATTTCGGTTGGTATAACAAATGGAACGGACCATTTCGGTTTGCTCTGACCCGGGACCAGTGGCCCAGACATTTCGGTCGGTCGAACCGAATTGACAAAATTGTTGTTCCCAGTACCGCTCTTTTGTATCCTGCTTACAAGAACAATAACCAAACGCGTGGTGGCTTGGGTCGGGTCTGTGCAATCGTAATGTACCGTTCCATTCGGCACGTGGAATTTCCGTAATTTCACACTGGAATTTTTGTTGAATGGAAAGCGCCCATAATTTTCAAACAAGTTTCCGCTCACTTTAGATGTACAACTAGAAAGGCCATAAATCTCCGTATTCCTGATCCATCTCATACTGAAAACTCTGATTACGTGTATGGTGTTTCCTGAACATTATTTTGGTCTTCTTTTTATAGGTTTTGACAAGCACGGAACAGCGTTGATATAGCTAGAGTACAATAATATAGCCCAGTAGCTTTAATTAAGATAAACAAATTATCTTTAACATAATGTAAATGTATAACCCTCGACTAAATATATAAACCAAGGCACATGTGTGACACTTTTTTAAGCGATCCATATCTGGTTGTAAAGCTGGCCTTATGTGGAATAATCCAAGGCAAATTCACGATAGAAGGTTTGACAGAATCGAGCCCGTAAATTCTAGCTCAGAGCCAGGCATGTACCAATGACACGTAATGGGGTTATGAGTCTGTAGAAGAAACTCCCTCAAGAGATCATATCAATCTTGATTAAAACTGAGTTCATTCATGGCGGTGTACTCGCATGGCAATGTTTGCTGAAAGAATTTTACCAAAGAAGATATGTGACATATTTCCTGAGTTGCTACGTTTGAAGGTTGAGGCTTTTGCGATTAAGCTCTATTGAGTATTTTAGGCTTCAGCACCCGAGTTTGACGGGAGTGATTAGATAGAGAGCCTGCTGAATTCACTGATGAGCAAAGAACACTGAAAGAATTTTAAGTACTACAGTTAATTAGAGTAAATGGTTAGAACCCTTTGGAAAAGGCGACTGGATGAGCTGAGCTCGTAAGTGTAGTGTGCGAACGCTTCTGTTCTGTCTGTTTTGTGGATTAGAACTCATATTGTTTATGTTAGTCATTGTGTTCATTGATCTCGCCGTCCATTTCGAGTCTAATTTGCATATTCTGTCCACTCAATACCTTAACGTTTGAACGTTTTGGTAGTCTTTTAAGGAAGGTTAATTGATTTTTCATCATATTTTAAATACTAATGAAGAAACTTGACTCCTTCTCACCATTCTTTACATTTTGTTGCAGTGAGCCGCGTGTCTTAGTTGTTCATGAACGGCATCTTCGTTTCGCTCTGTTACTCGATTCCGTGATGGACAGAGCTAGATCGCACAGACATAGTAGGCCTTGTGGTTTGCGTTCAGTCTACTTTCTCGTGCCAAATCAATTCATTTGAAGTCATTTCGAAAAGGACAAGAAAGGCATGAATGCTACAAATCTCACTCGAGGGATGATATTTTGAGGGCCCTAATGTGCTTTGAGAGGTCCACTGAATCGAAATTAAAACAGCCTAGCTTGATCTGGGTTTAAGAAGAGTGCAATACCTTTTGCTGACTTGATCATCCTACTGGTCTCTGGGCGATCTGCTTTCTTCATGGCCGAAATTAAATAGGCCCCTGGGAAAGGGTTGCAAAAATCGGTGGCTTCTCCACTGACGGAACTCAGTGCTACCCTCCCCCCCGCCTACGTCATGAACTGGAACCAAAAATCCACCGCTTGGTTAGTGTTCTGTGGAAGACATTGTTTGTTGTTGAAAGCGGAAAAATTTCCCTCCACATTCCCAAGTCTCCCAAGTCAGATGTTTGATGGAGAAGCGTGAAAGTATGTGAACGAAACTGGAACTGTCTACGCCTGTAAATAAGACAACTTAGAAAAATTTCGTTACGATGAAACTATTGTTGGAATATGGGCACCAAAAGGCCCTGTGCCACTAAATCTGAACTGACGACCAATATACCGCTTACGTGACAAACGTCAGTATGATTGAAAAGGCCTGTATGTATTGGCAATGTGCACATGACAAATGTCACGAGCTTTCGCTTAATGACTCAGTTTACTTAACGACGGGCAGAAAAAGAGTTCCCTAGTACTATATATTTACGGGTCAAAGATAAATAGGGTAAACTTTGACTGGGTGACATCAATAGAATCCCAATAGTGTAACATTGTAATCCAGTATATCGCTCAATGTCTAATCGCTTTTAAACAGATAGAACACGCTATGTATAATGTCTTTGACTCTTAAATATATATACAATGTTATTTTTCATAGAGAGAGAGATGCTTGCTTGTCTACACCTATGTACAAAGTTGTACACCTACGTATATGAAGGCGTAATACGAACTACTGCACTATACGCTACATATGCAATAATTATTTAAATATTTAAAAAAGAAATCTGTCTGGAAAGCTAAAACGGAGTTAAGACGCATTGCAGCTCATGGCGTGGCTATTTTCATGCTGCTGTAGGACAACCCGACCGGAATATTCTAGGTATCAGCTCCCAAATTTGATCGTTAAGAAGGGGTAATTGAATGATCCGACTGAAGCAGCTGCATGAATTAGGCAAGAAAAGGCTAAAAGGTTGAACCGACTTACTGTTTCGTGCTTGGAAAGAGTGGTAACTTTTGACTCAATTCCCTTCGAAATTGTCTTTTGGAGGAGAACGGTCCGGTAAGCCAAATCAGTGACTGAGTGAAACTATTTTGGACTGAATACTGGGTTCAGTCAATCAGTTCTTATACCTCGGTGTAATTTCGCGGGGTTTTATTTTCGTGATTTCACAGCAGACTGCAAAATGGAACTTAGAAGCCAGTCTTTTGGATTTTGTGTATTTGGCAATACATATCCCGTATATGTTGTTGTCATTACATTAATTCTCTCTGCGAAATGAATCACGGTCCTCATGATCAAATTAAACAGGCAACCTCGTCCCCACGCTTTTCCCGTAGAAACGCCCTGGGGACGAGGCTGTTAAACAGGGTAGAGAAATGAATGTTTATCCTTTTTACAGGATCAGGGTTTGAAAGCTCTTGCGGTACAGCTCTACCTAAACTTCCCGTGAGTGAAACAAAAAGCAAACTGCCGTGATAAGCTCGGCACCTGACGAAAGACAATTTAAACGCATTTCTGGAAAGAAAAAAGACTTTTTAAACTTGACGTTTCGTAGTATCCACGCCCCCAGGGTTTCCTGAAGGACCAGAAATGCACAAAAGCATTCACAGTATATGTGACTCTTTTTTTATGCATACTTAGGTGCCTAAATACGTGGTCAATTACGTGGTCTTGTTTTTCCAGTAAAAAATACAAACCCAAGGCGGGGTATGAAAGCCCTTAAATGACAAGTATTTGTAGCCCAAACCAGTTCTTGAAACTGTACTGAAAGTAACGGCAGATAATTGTAGATAGTTTTAATACACACCTCGGAAGATGGCGCTGGTTTCAATCAATTGACCTAGTGCCTTCTAATAGCGTGAATTGAACATGTGGTGGAAAAAATTTTTCATAGCCGGTAAATTCAACTCCAACGGTAAAAATACACGCAAGGCCTCAAGAAACAGAACTGCTCTAGATAAGGGATGATGAGAAAGTGTCTGTTTTCTGCAGTATCGCATTTTATGCGGTTTGAATTTAGACGGAAAACGTAACGGCTTTCCACAGGAAAGGTAAGTGGAGAAAAACGAAAATGTTTGACAACAAAATTAGTCCTAACATATTTGCAAACTCGGTCTGCAATGGCAAAAAGTCATTGCGGATATGATTACAAAACTCACAGTTTGATCGTTATACATGCTTTCAGCCTCACATTGGTAGCCGAGAGTTGAGTTACCTAAATATATTATACCGTCTTTATTCGACGATTAAGCGCCCAACCTCAAATTAGCAAACACCCCCCCCCCTCCCACAACAACAACAACAACAACAACAACAGCAAAACTGAAGTGGATGAGAAGAGTTGATTGTTATTTCCATACGGCCCAATCTGCTTCTCTACTTTTTATGACCCATTTGTAGACGTTACACTGTGAGACATCTACGAGGCAACACCAGAGAGTTCACTTAAAGATCTTACTGACAATGAGATAGAAATTGACGAGGTACGGTGCTATTAAGACATTTCCCCGAAGACCATGGGTCATGGGCTTTTAGCGAAAACGTTCAAAAATTTTGAGTACTGCTGCAAGCGAAGTTCATGTACGACTGAAAACAACCGGCACAGAGAGAAATACGTCAATCGCAGGACCTCGCGAAGGACTTCGATGTAACGGGAAGATAAGGCAATCGAGAAGAAAATTTATAAACCTAAAAATTTTAAGCTGTATAAAGAAACCAAATAAAATCGCAATAACTAAAAAGAAATCTAAACAAAAAGAAAAAGAAAAAAAAGAAGAGGGGAGAAAAAGGTTCTGCCCGTAATCGAACTTAGAACCTTCGACGAGCCGGGCCACGTGGGACACACTGTGAAAATATTCGAAAATATGTTATTAAAACCCTTTCTCCCAGAACTTCCACCAGCGCGACCTCTATAAAGTCGATCGAATTCAAAAATATTTTTCAGAAGAATGACTTCTGTTTGGACAATGAAAACCCAACGTAAACGCATTTCATCGCATTTAAAGAACGGAAGCCCACCTACATGTAAGTCGATACGGTATAAACTCGTCTGCGAACAAAACTTGGCAACAGTGATGTAGTCTGCGTAGCAGGGGTTGAAAGGGGTAGGGGATAGGGAGGAAGGGAAAAAGGAAGGGGCATTGGGGGGGCAAGGCTGTGTTGCGCTAAAAATTGTCGTTGCGAATCGCTTCTCTAACATCACCTAAAGTACGTGTGGAAATTAGCATTTAACAATGACATTTCCGAGATACTTGAGAATTAGGTTTGGAAATTCATAAGCCAGTGCTAGAAGGATATCAGAATTGTCGCTTTCGCTGTTGTTAGGATCGTAACCCAGAATGTCGTGATTTTTTACTACTGCTGCGAAAGGATAATCTGTTGCTACCCTATCAGTTCGCTAGGTTTGAGGTATTGGCCTTTTCCGATTAACTTTTGTTCAGTATTAAACGAGTTTGACGGCCGGAGTCACAGAGAGGTAGCTATATATAATATAGAAGTTCAGATACTACTGAGTTAACTGGACTTACTAGGCAATACTTGAAAAAGACGACTGGATGGACTGAACTCGGTTCTGTAACCCAAGGACGCGTCTATGGGTGGATTAGAACTTTAATCGGTTTGCTGATATTGTATATGTAAATTATTTTGCTTAAAGTCCTTAAACAATACGCACGCCCATTCTCTAATAATTTTGCATATACTGTCCACCCCCCAAAAAGGAGCGTTGAACTATGACGAACTTTTTGTCGCAACGTTTTCCTGTTTTAACGCGATGGCTCCGGACGAGAATCTGGGAGATAAGCGTTGGCTTTTTGTATATTTCTCTCTGTTAAGGCTGGATTAGATGTCATTTGTTCATAAATTTGTTCTTTGGATGATGCAACGGCGTGTTACCTTGTAACTGAACAAAAGGCAGAATTTTACTCACACTTTGAGGGGGGAAAGGGGTCAGGCCGATGGGATCTAATGCTGACTCCTGACAGCAGACTTCCAGATCTGGGAAGTGACTTTGGACCTCGAGAAATTCCGCGATTGACTTAGCTCTAGAAAAGATCAGAAAGGTCTCATGAAAGGTGAAGACCTTAGAGTTTTAGAAGAAACTACTCAGTTAAGTCACAAGCGTTCGTTCTAGAGGCTACCCTCACAATATCATTGACAAAAATTACCTCGGAGATTAAATTTGCTGAACGGAATTCGGCTTTACTACCAAGCAATATTAAAAGTACTACTTGAATGAATCACGCCATATTACGTGTCCCCGAGAAGGCAAGAGTCCAAGTGTCATATACCAGAGATCAGGCCCAATTTGAGCGGTTCTCATACATTCTCTCTAATAGTCCAGGGCCATGTGTCCGAAAAATCGTTCTCGTGGGCATTTTATGAACATTGAAGTTTCTTTGCAGAAACTTACAGTTTAAATGGTGCTGAATCGAAAAAAAGTTGTCTGCAATTTTTTCAGAGCCATTTAGGCCTGTCTTATGCAAATTAGATATGACGTCATTATATAGCTGATGAATGACAACAAAATGCCTTCAGTTTGATTCGCCACTTTTTGAATCAAATATAATAAATGCATTTACAACAGCAGTTTACATCACATTTTGACTGTTTCAAGGAATGAACGAATGGACCAAACATTTAAAGCAAGATTCACGGGTTTTCATTTCAGAAACATCTTTTCTTTTCTCCAGTTATTTACTACATCTTTTGATGAATCCCCTTTGAATTTACGAGTCCAATTGTCCAGCTTTTTAAAGTTCTCTTTCTGTTCTCTGCCGATTTTTAAACACCAGAAAATATATGGTATAATCCTGTCTGAGTCCAGCTAGAAAAGGCATGCGTTTTGATGGTCTCCCCGTGGTTTAAGACTCAACACCTTATTAGTTTTCAGGTTATTCTTCCTCTCTTATTTGATTTTAGTGTGCGAAGGCATATTTACCTGACGACCTACTACTGTGTATTCGATTTATCTGGAAAAAACCGCAAGATTATGGAGTTTTATTTATTCATTATTATCAATTTGGCGCATTAAAACAATACATTCACTAATAAAATTAAATGG